CCCAACTCATCTCCACTGTGGTGTGTGTGTGTTGGCAGGTAGCGGGGCGTATTGAGGAACCTGGCCTTGGGGCAGCAGAGAGAGTAAATCCGACCCTGGTTCCATAGGGAGCAGAAGTCCCCGCAGCATGTAAGACACATATAATGAGTTCTATATAGTCGTGTTATACACACGGTGCACACCGTGTGTCCCAGTTACTCTACACGGACAATACGCACACCCACCACCAAGGCGTCTACACGGCAAACACACACACAGCGCGCACAGTCACCTTTGGTCATATCACCTAGAAATTAATGCACGTCGTTTTCTAGAGCTAATCACTGACACGTCTCTGGGACGTCTCTGCCGTAGAGAGACGCTCAGAGCTAAACTGTACTGCCCCAATCAGGGCCCGGCCGGGGGCCACAGTCTGACCTTCCTTCTTTCCCGCTCCACAGGGCCATTGTCCATCATGTACTGATGACCACCATCGCCGTATCACCGCTAGACGTCCAGCACATGGTTGAGGTAGGAGATGTAGCAGATCGCCAGGCGCAGGATCTCAATCTTGGACAGTTTCTTGTCTGGCGGCAGAGTGGGCAGCAGCCGGCGCAGCTCGGCGAACGCCACGTTGAAGGCCTCCACGCGGATGCGCTCTCTGGTGGCGTGGGCCGAGCGGTACTTGGCGGTGGCTCGCCTCCTGCGCCTCTTCTCTTCGCGGCTGAGCTGCGGGGGGAGGCACGGTATCTGGCGTCCACCGCTCTCTGCCTCCGACACGCTGCCCCCCTTCATCTCGCTGGCCGCTGAGTCGGATTCGGACTGCGCTGACAATTGGTCGGAATCGACCGGCTCGGGGCTGAGCATCATACTTGCTGAGTGCGGCAGCTGGAAAGAAACAGAAGACATTCAATGATACAGAAGTAACATTGTTTATAAACATTGATCAGAGGGGGAGAGATAGAGAGATACAAAGTAACATTGTTTATAAACATTGATCAGAGGGGGAGAGATAGAGAGATACAGAAGTAACATTGTTTATAAACATTGATCAGAGGGGGAGAGATAGAGAGATACAAAGTAACATTGTTTATAAACATTGATCAGAGGGAGATAGAGAGATACAAAGTAACATTGTATATAAACATTGATCAGAGGGAGATAGAGAGATACAAAGTAACATTGTATATAAACATTGATCAGAGGGAGATAGAGATACAAAGTAACATTGTTTATAAACATTGATCAGAGGGAGATAGAGAGATACAAAGTAACAATTGTATATAAACATTGATCAGAGGGAGATAGAGAGTCACAAAGTAACATTCAATAGAGGGAGATATAAGAGGGAGATATAACATTGTATATAAACATTGATCAGAGGGAGATAGAGATACAAAGTAACATTGTTTATAAACATTGATCAGAGGGAGAGATAGAGATACAAAGTAACATTGTTTATAAACATTGATCAGAGGGAGATAGAGAAATACAAAGTAACATTGTATATAAACATTGATCAGAGGGGAGATAGAGAGATACAAAGTAACATTGTATATAAACATTGATCAGAGGGAGATAGAGAGATACAAAGTAACATTGTATATAAACATTGATCAGAGGGAGATAGAGATACAAAGTAACATTGTTTATAAACATTGATCAGAGGGAGATAGAGAGATACAAAGTAACAATTTTACTCCTGGAGTTCAGTCTGAGATACATTTTTTCTTCTTGGCTCCAGTGATGATTTGGGACATTGAATAGCTGATTACTATCTGCAGGAGCTCTAAGGAACATACAATAAGTTGCAAAGGGCCACACTCGGCCCTCCAGCTGCAGTTTGGGTACCAGCAATCGTAACTGATGGTTCATTTCCCTCCCCCTACCCATTTTGCTCCCCACTCACCTGATCTCTGTAGAAGTCGGGGTGTCGGGGCGACAGGTGTAGTGAGTTTGCTGGGATCAGCCGCACTGTCTACCCATGATTCCACTTATATTCTGGTCGGTGACCCTCTAGCAGATGCCAGATTGGCATTCCTTGGTACTGGATGGATGTCGGCTGCTGAATGGGCAATGGCTGGATGGTGCCAGTGGTTGGGTGGGCAATGTTCAGTGTTGGACGGGTGTTGGTAATTGGGTGGTCAGTGCAGGTGGATGTTGTAGGTTTGGTGGGCAGTGTTCAGTACCGGATGGATGTCGGCTGTTGGGTGTTCAGTGCCGGATGGATGGCGGCAGTTGGGCGGTCAGTGTTCAGTGCTGGATGGATGCCGGCTGGGCAGTGTTCAGTACCGGATGGATGTCGGCTGTTGGGTGGGCAGTGTTCAGTACCGGATGGATGTCGGTTGTTGGGTGTTCAGTGCCGGATGGATGGCGGCAGTTGGGCGGTCAGTGTTCAGTACCGGATGGATGCCGGCTGGGCAGTGTTCAGTACCGGAGGGATGTCGGCTGTTGGGTGTTCAGTGCCGGATGGATGGCGGCAGTTGGGCGGTCAGTGTTCAGTACCGGATGGATGCCGGCTGTTGGGCGGTCAGTGTTCAGTACCCGAGGGATGTCGGCTGTTCGGTGTTCAGTACCGGATGGATGTCAGCTGTTGGGCGGTCAGTGTTCAGTACCGGAGGGATGTCGGCTGTTGGGTGGGCAGTGTTCAGTACCGGATGGATGTCGGCTGTTGGGTTGGCAGTGTTCAGTGCCGGATGGATGGCAGTTGGGCGGTCAGTGTTCAGTACCGGATGGATGCCGGCTGGGCAGTGTTCAGTACCGGAGGGATGCTGGTGGTTGTGGCCGGTGGTTCCGGCAGTCTTCAGTAAGCAGCGGTGAAGTCGCCTGTTTTCGGAGGCGGCGGCGTTACGCCGTGTGCGGTACCCAGAGGACTGATGGCATGGAGATAGACCTTCCGAGCTCGTGACAGAGAGATGGAGGAGAGGGGGGGGAGGGTAGATGGTCCCCGGGGTCCTCAGACCTCAGATGTGCAGAGATGAGATGGAAGGAGATGATGGAGGGAGGGCGGCGGCTGCGGCACACTTAATGACCCTTTAATAGGAATCTGCTATCGGACATGAAGATTCGGCGCCGGGATCCTAACTGCTTGTGACATCTGTCACTGTTCCTGCGGGCGAGCGCCGTGATGTCCCCGGTGCTGATAAATATAAATACCCACCCTCGTCC